GAACAAATCAGTGAGAGCAACCATAGTGCAACAGTTTCTTCAGAAACCTTTCCAAGTTCAGGCACACTCAAAACATCCTGCTCATAACTAAGCAAACTTTTTTCCGTGCAAGGTTTCCAAATTTCAATGTCTAGGGATGTTAAAGAGGAACGTTGCTTCAGCATATCAATGAGTGCAGATATCAGATTCTTCAGAAGTTTTGATGCTTCAAGAACATCGATCGACTGTTCTCTGCTGTCCCTCATTGCAGATATGAGGATGACTGCACTGCTGATTCTTATTTCCATGTCATTTGACTCTATAACTCTATTAGCAAGAGAAGTGATGCATCCTTGACTTCTGTTTAAATATTCACCAAGTAGAGAAGGTCGGCCCTGACAGAGACTTGCAAGGATTTGAATGGACTTATCTTGAACAGGTGGAAGCCCAATACTAACACAACGAACTAAAGGTTCTAAGCTTTCTGGAAATTCAAGAAAACCAGTGCATAGAGGGGGGCTATAATGTGAACCCTCCTTTGTTGTAGCCATCAATGTAAGAACATCAAGGGGTTCCAAATTTGTAACATTGTCCAAATTGATGCCAGATAGACATACCAACAATGCATGAATTATAAAACAGCACTGCGAGTAATCTGGGAGAACTTCACTGAGGGGAAACTGGTTGACCAACTGACGAAGTGACCGCGACGCACTAATCTTGCCTTCTAAACTCCCCTCCTTGAGCACTCTAGTCAAAGCCAAGACAATGTTGTCATCTAACGCTTCTTTAGCAATCTGTGCATCTGATAGGAGATTTGCTAATGCAGCAAATGCTGTTTCAGCAACATCAATAGATGATGTCTTTGCCATCTCTATAAGAGGTCGCACATCACCTTCAGTTAAGCAAGACATTTTGTTTTTTGACATGGAACTAGCTGAACATGAAAGTGCTCCTAAAGCTCTGGCAGATTGTGTGGCAATCACTTGGTTTCCACTTGTCAAAAGCTTCATGCATGGCTGGACAATTTCATCAATTGCCAAGACATCACAAATATCCTGACGCATAGTGAAAATATCAGCCAACACAGTTGCAGCAATCTCCTGTGTTTCTTCATTTGATGATTCAAGAACAAGAACTAGTGACCTAAGGCCTTTATTAGCTGGGGCTCCACTCTGGATAAGAGCTCTCTGAGGCGCCAGCACAAGGACATGCCCGAGAACTGTAATGACATGAGCCTTTGAGCTCAATGAATCACTGAGCAGTAATGCTAGTAACTGATTGATCGTAGCAGAATCTGCTGATCGTATCAGCTTCTTGAGTGCTTTAACTGATGCCTCTTGTCCACGAGGGCTACCACTCTTTAGAAGCCAAATTAGTGCCAGAACAGCCCCAGCACTCTCAATACATGCCCTGATATCATCACTGTCAGAGCACATGTTCCACATGATGTAAGCTGCATCCTCCTTTGCTTTTTGAGATCCTGTTTCTAGTAGTTGGACAAGTGGAGGGATACCTCCAGCAGCTGTTATTGCCCACTTGCTGTCATCTACTTCATCACTCAAGATAGCCAATAAGGAAACTGCATATTCCTGCTGCTGCTCACTGGAAAGCCCAAGTAATGATATTAGCAACTGAACCCCTTCTCTCTTTCCAAGAGCCTCCCATATTCCAACACCATCACAACACAAGCTAGTTAAGGCACGAACAAGATGTTCTTGAACATCAGCAGGAGCCATGGTAATCAGCCCAACAAGAACCTTCTTAGAATTAGAGTGATCAAGCCTGTCAGAGAGACAATCATTCCCATATAGACTTGCTAAAGCCTCAAGAATACGATCAAGCTTGCTGTCATGAGATTTTAGGAGCACAACCAAAGTATTTTCAATCTCAACTGGGTCAAAGGATTTACCATCACAGCCATCAAAAACCATCAATGAATAAGCAAGTGCTCCAAGAATGTCAGCAAGGGGAACAGGTGACCGGGGTGCTTGGCAGAGCTCACCAAGGTAAAGCAACAGAGAAGTTGTTCCCCCACAAATATTTGATAAAGCACGGACAGCATGGCTTTGTAGAGAATGACATGTCTCACCCTGCATGCATTCTTTTGAGGGCGCTACAACAGCTCCAATCAGAATAGGAAGGCCTCCTGCATCCACCACAGCTTTCTTTGCAATACTAGACTTGGAAGACAGGGCCTCCAAAGCATCAGCCGCACTTTCACGAACAGAAATGATATTATCTCGGTTTAGAAGGTGAAGGAGAGCCTTAACAGCCCCAGCATCTATAACTTTGGGAATGCTATCACCAAAAGCAGAGATAAACCGTGCCAATAGAGAGGCAGCATTTGACTGTGAAGCAGTATTCTTGGATGAAAGAAGACCAGTAATAATTTCAACACCTCCAGCTTCAAGTGTGGCCTTCCAGTAACCATCTTTGTCCCCACAGAGATTCCTTAAAGCCCCAGTCACAAAGCCCTCAACAACTCTATCTTGGCGAGACCTAGGATTAAGCAAGTCCCACAGAGTTGGCACAACACCTTCAGTCACAAATATTTTCCTGCCTATGTGATCATCTGAAAGCCCACCAGAAGACACTTCATAAATAGCTTCAGCAGCAGCCTTCTTCGCTTCAGCAGATTCAGACTTCAAAAGAGAGATTAAGGGTGGTATACAGCCTCCTAAGAGGACCCTCACACGCAGGTCCTCTTCCTTGCAGAGTGCACTAAGTAGAGCTGCAGCATTTACTTTTGCTGCAGATGACCCAACTCTAAGGGTAGATATAAGTAGTAGTGGCATTGCCTGAGAATGGCTACCTATCAAAATCCTTGCCTCCTTTTTTGCTCTGGCCAGTTCAAGTAACCTTCTGGTTGTAGCTTCCTTCCCTGATGGAGATACCATGCTAGCATGGAGGTCTTCCAACAATCGAGCAACAGTGGACATTGCACTTTCAGGATCATCAACTTCTGCCAGGTCACCTTTTTCCCTGTGGAACAACAAATAAGTAACAAGTTATATACTATAGTTAATGTTCAAAAAAAATTTATTTCAAACTGCAACTAGTCAGCTAATCCGTACTCATATGAGTAAGCTATTTCAAAACATTGGGAATGAGTAACAGGTTAAAACAGGAATATGTTATACCTTGATATAGAAGACGATGTTGATGGTGCGGGTGAAGTTGGTTCTCTAGAGTCTCGAGGTTCTGACGAGTTGAAATTTGCCATGATTAGATCTATACCAGATTTACACCTTGAATTGTTTTATAATTCCTACAGGATAAAAATGGAAGTAAGTAGCATAATGAATAATAGTACCAGCCTGTGTCATTTTTGCATTGACATAAAGGAGAAAGAAGGAAGCAAAAGGAAAAGAGGCATTCCCACTTAATCGTGCAATTACCAAGAGAATAATGAATTAATGTCCGTTTTAAAGCATGCAGACAGATCCTGTGGAATAATGCATTAATGCATCATAGCACAGTCAGATCCAGTTCTAACAGCAAAACGAAAAGGAGATAGTAGACCCTCTCAAAAAAAAAGGGGGATAGTAGTACCATAGCTTAAACATAGTTCAAGGAAATACTACAAAATTCAAGATTGAACCAACAAACTCTCTTGTGACTGTGGCTAAAAATTTCAATCCAAATCTTCTACAAGATCTTCAATCTCAACTAGAAATGCATTAAATTTGGTCCATGTAAAACATGAATAAAAGGTTCTTTTTAACCTCAAATCATCAAGTTTTACAAAATCTGGCACGCCACTTCTGAGTTCTTACAATGAGATGTAGTTGCTTTTATAGGAAATGATCACCGGGAAAGTAGTCAAACACATGAAACATACACGATAACCAAAAATCATGTGAAATGGAGGCATGAAATGAAATTCCACGCATGGTAGGTTCCATGGTAGGCTGGTGGCTTATATCATATGTTGTATCACAGCCACCAACAAGCCCACCATTGCATGCATGGGAAATGAGTCACGTGCAACCACTTTTACGTGCAATTGTATAATCATGCATCCAAACAATCTGATACAGTTGGATCATGACTTGCACTTGAGTTGTACTCAAATGTTTGCACATGTAGCAGCACTCACAAGTAAAGGAGACGAGAAGCACAAGCCCCAATGCTTCCTCCAAGACAGTCCTTTCAAGTCGAGTGTTAGATTTGTTATGGGACAGAAGGTATGTGGATGAGACTTATTGAACTATCTGTAGTTATACGTTCATCAACCAAGCTACTGATTCCACAGGCAACACTTCCTCTTATATACCTTAACTTCAAGAGCACTATGACTATGACAGAGCCAATCCCCCCAATTCTTGAGAGACAGCAATCTCGAGCCCTCACTCACCCAAATTCATGAGGCTAGAAGGCAGGAGCAGCATCTATCATGGACTCTTTCATTCTGTATTTCTGTTCTGTAGATTGTACCATTCTAACTAACCAAGGAAAAAGACTTGTACATTTCCTTAGATGAGGGCAACCACCGACAGACACCTTCAGGAAACAAACAAATATACCTTCGCTAGCTATAGAATTCCTGTAGAATTGTGCCTTCCCCCTCCTGAATCCCAACCATCTCCTCCCTTAAATCACTCCACTCTGGCACAGTGCCAGTGACACCCACACCCACCACCGTCCACCGAATCGGTCAGGATCACAGAAACGGCCAAACATCAAGCCCTCCTCCACCTCACCCCTACCGACAGAGCCCCCAGGCGTGAGATCTCGGCCGCCGCATCCAACATTCGGCTACCAGAAAGTCCAACGCGCGTACCGTCGCGCGTTGAAGGTACAGCGCGACCCCCCGCCGCCGGGTTAGTGGTGGGGCGGTTGGGCTCCGGGGGCTGATCTCTCCCCCAGACCTTCAATCCCCGGCGGTGGGTGGGTGGGGCGGCGGGTGGCGGATGCGGCTGGTGGGCGCAGTCAGGGCGGGGCCAGCACGTCGGGCGGGCCAAGGGAGGGCGGTGAAGCAGTGGCGGTGGGCAGCGGGAGCGCTGGCGGAGGCTGGGATGGCGGTGGTCGGGCGCGAGGACGAGGGCGACGGCGACGGCGTGGCAAGAAGAGGATGGTGTCGCGCGGCCCGTGAGAACCCAGACGGGTCGAGCTCAGCGAAGGCACGGTGGTCCCAGGCGAGTTGCTACAGCTACAATTGGGCGAGCCCGCCCCACGCGAGATCGAGAAGGGAGCGTGGACTCACCGTCGGCGGGTGGACGGCGGTGCCCGGTGCCGGCGAGTGGCGGGCGGCGGTTCGTCTGGCTCCACTCGCTCGCCCACTGCGCTGGCGGGGGAGTGAGAGATGTGAGGAACTGAGGAGGAGCTTTGGGAGGAGCGAGGATGGGACGGGGGTGCCTTTTTTGCGGGTCACTCCTGTCGTTGTCGCGTTATTTCGGAAATGGACAGCCACCTGGGTGTTCAAGGGCCAATTAATTACTTTCCACTTTGGCCGTGGACAGCTCCGATACGGTGTAGTACTACACACTACCTGTAGCACAACTGCACAAGTAGTATACGGAGTAACTTTCTTTGGAGGAAGCTCAATAGTCACATAGTAGAATGGTACGTAGTTCAATACTTATTACTCTGTTCCACGATAACTTACCTTCTAGGAGTCTTTCACGCGTATCAATACTAGAAGAAGAAAAAAACGTAAATACCATTGCTCCCTCTGTCACATACCACGGCCATCTCCGCCTTCTCCACCTTGGACGTCCCATCGCTGCCGCCCTCACCATGCAGCAAGCAAGATCTACGTCTTCGACTCCTTCCACATTGGCGCCGTGGATGAGGACGGCGCCAAATCGCCGCCGCCACGCCGAGCAATGTGGATGAGGGCCGAGCCGGATCTCCGCCATTGTGCCATCCGCGTCCCCTCCGCATCGGTCGTAGCGGATTAGGGACACGTCGATGAAGGAGAAGAAGGGGGAGGGGGCACCGACGAAGGAGAAGAGGAGGGGGCGCCAATTAGGGAAGAGCGTCTCAACCCCATATCTTATCCTCCAAGCAGTGCCGCCTCCACGCCAACGAGGGACAAGCGGAGAAAGGAGGCATCGGATCTCGTCGCCCGTAGCCTCGTCAGTGGAGGAGAAGATGAGGGAGTCGCCAGATCTCGGCCACCTTAGCCGCACCACACCGACGGAGGAGAAGAGAAGGGGTGCATCGGGTGTCCGCTAGTGCAAGAGAAGAGGAGGGTGGCGTCGGTGCGGGTGAAGAGGAGGGGCGGCGTCGATGCATGTGAAGAGGAGGGCGGCGTCGGTGCGGGTCAAGAGGAGGGCAGTGCCGATGGAGAAAATGAGGAAGGGATGCCGATAATGGGAGGGGGCGATTGAGCGGATGGCCACACATGATGATGTAGTCGTATGGTTGTTAGGTGGGACCCACGCCTATAATGACGCTCTTTCTAGGACATCTTTGAAACGCTAGAACGACAAATACTGTGGGGCGGAGGGAGTACCATAGAAAAAGATACTATATGGTATTTAGGACACATTAGCAATGAAGCAAAATGATCTAAATGACTCCTAAAACATCGATGAATAGTGTCAAATAGTATCATATAATACCTCTGCGATGCTAAACGGTTCTAACATGTCTTCTTTTTGGGGTTAAATTTTGAATGATATAAAGTCTTACTTTAGGGGACTAAGGGAATATGCCATTAAGTGTACGTAGGCATCGATAAAAATAGAACGATGGCTAAGTAGCAATACGATCAAATGCTCTCTCTCTCCATTCTAAAATATCATTATTTTGGTTTTGTAAGCCAAATTTTAAGTTCACTCAAGTCTAAAAAGAGAAAAGTACAAACATCTGTTGTATCAATAGGTAAACTATGGAAATATATTTCATAATGAATTTAATGTTACATATGTGATATAGTCAACATCATTATTTTTCTTAAAAAAATTGATAAACTTAGTGTAGTTTGATGACCTAGGACAAAACTAGACTAGGGATATTTATATTTTAGAACGGAGGAGTATATACAAAGTAAAACCTATATATATTATATACTCACTTTTTTAGGAAAAATATTATACTCGGTAAGCTACCCCAATATATTTTGCTGAACTCAAGGCACTAAATGGTGGTTTTGTTGTCCCGATGATGATGATCATGGTCTCAGCTAGTAGAATAGTGAGATGAAGGAGTATAACAAGGGCAAAATATGAGTAAGCGAGGTATGCTGCCATGGTTCCTGTTTGGATTTACATAGCTAATAATTAGCTGCTAAAACTTAGCTAAGATTGATCTAAATAGGAACCACTAATAGCCAGCTAATTGTTAGTTAGGCACCTAGCTAACAACTATCTAAGGTGGATCTAAATAGGCACCACTAATAGAACAGCTAATTGTTAGTTAGGCACCTAGCTAACAACTATCTAACAGCTATCTAATCCTTCTAATACCAGCTAATAAATGCAAAAAGATATTTTTTACCTTCTCGCATATCTATATCTGTATCTATATGATCTGCTAATAACCTTACTTTTACCCTCCCACATATCTATATCTATATGCTCTGCTAGGGCCTCTAAAAGCTGAAGAGCATTGTAGACAAAAACATAAATATATTAACATTTTAGCTCTTGCATCCAAATAATACCTAGCTTGAACTATTAGCCCTACTTTTGAGAAGCCCATTTAAAGAGGCTAAAACAACAACAAAAATAGTGATAGATTCTCGATCACTCATCCGTGGACAGTAGCATATCATGAATCAAACCGTTGGTCCTACTAGTGAGGATGAATGAATTGATCTTTGTTTCATGAATGGATATAGGGGCTCCGTGTTCATCGTTCCGTGCTCAGAGTCAAATAGGTATCATGTTCGTATTTCAAGTATACCAAATGCATCCTGATGAACTTGCTCATGCATATGGCCTTAGCAACCATGTTCCCATGAGGGAACGGGAACATGAACACGAAACGGAAACAACTTGGGGCGTTATTTTATAACGTGGGTGGGAACGTAAATATTCTCGTTCCCGGAACGTGGAATATGGGGACGTGAACCGTGGCCATGTTCCCCTTCTCAGGCGTGGATAGCTCGTGTAATTTTATAAGACTATGGGAAATAACGAACTACAAATAATAGATGCAAAAGGCAAGCCTTAGATTTCATCTCCAACAACCAAGAAAATTCAAAGCAAGGTCTCTTCACAACGAAGCAAAGGGAGGGAGGGATGTTCTTGCTGGTAGAAACGACAAATCGTTGGTTGGCAGGCCGATTCCGTGTGATTAGCACGCCTCTCTTTGCTCTAACCTCGAGCATGATCGCGTGAATACCAGCAAAGCAAAGGGCCGCTGCGTAAAATGCGCCCCGAGCCTCACGCAGCGGGAAGGGAAGGAACGGCCCGCGCTGGCGACCAGCAGCCCCGTACGTACTGGACTGGTCGGTGAGACATCCCCCAACGGGTCTCAAACTGACATGTGCGGTCCACCTGGGCGCCCGTTGACGTGGGGACCAGAGTGTTAGGCCATGTTTAGTTCACGTTAGCCCTCGTTTAGTTCGTGAAAAGTTGAAAATTTGGCTATGGTAGTATTTTCGTTTTTATTTAATAATTATTATTTAATTATGGACTAATTAGGCTCAAAACGTTCGTATCGCAATTTTCAACTAAACTGTGTAATTAGTTTTTTTTTCGTCTACATTTAATGCTCCACGCACGTATCGCAAGATTCGATGTGATGGATACTGTAGCACTTTTTGTGAAAACTTTTCGCGAACTAAATAAGGGCTTAAATTTCTAATTTTGACACTATGCAAAAAGAAGATTTCCCGTCACATCAAACTTGCGGTACATGCATGGAGTACTAAATGTTGACGAAATCAAAAACTAATTGCACAGTTTGGTTGTACTCTGCGGGACGAACGTTTTGAGCCTAATTAGTCAACGATCGAACAATTATTACCAAATACAAACGAAATGCTACAGTTTAACTACAGTGTGCTACAGTGTTTTTTGTGTCGCCAAATTCAGGCAACTAAACGTGGCCTTAGTGTCTCCTCTCGGGAATTCACTGGGCCGAATTGTCTGCGGAGTGGCCGTCAGGCAGGCGGCATGTGCGATCGGGAATGGGCCCGTACAGCTTATTTCTGTAGGTTTTTTCCTTTGAGACCTGGTTGTCCTGAAAAGCTGTGGCCAAAGGGCCTGTTTGTTATAGCTTATTTCTATAGAGCTTTTCTGAAGAGTTGGTTATCCTGTAAAGTTGTGGTCAAAAGAAGCCGTGGCTAAAATAAGTTGGTGTTTGGCAACCCTGATTTTTTTGCAAGAAGCTTGTCTACCACAGGTGTGCAATGACCTGCATGCCCCTGATGTGTGTAGCAGCTTGTTTTAATGCTGGATAAGCGTAGAATACATTTGCGATATCAGTTAATTGATATTTTTATTTGAATTTCCAGCGCAAATTTAAGAAAAGGAAAAGAAGGCACAATAGTTTAAGAAAAGAAAAAAATAGAACAATAATTTAAAATTACATTCTTCAGGTTCCAGGGCCAAAGCACATACACCAATTTCTCCAAAATACCAAAAGTACATATGCCCAGGCAAGTCTCTAACCTAGCTAAAGCATCTACATCAGTGCAATAGCAATAGAATCATGAAAAGCACCCATGTCACTGTCATCTCTTAGCACACTTGAGTTATCCATGGAAGACTGTGAATCTCCTACACTATCTTCATTACTATAGTTTTCAAAGTCTGCATCATGTATGGCATTGTCTCTAATGAAATTATGAAGAGCTATCATTGCGATTATGATTTTCGATTGTTTCTTTACTGAATACTTAGGCATGTTCAACAGAATGCGTCATTTCATCTTGAGTACTCCAAAGCTACGTTCAATCACATTTCTAAAGGATGAATGTGCATAGTTAAACACCTCCTTTGATCCTGTTGTTTGGTGGTCATGTTGCCATTCAGACACATGATATCTTTGACCCTTGTAAGGTGCAAGAAATCCCTTTCTATTAGGATATCCTGAATCAACAAGATAATACTTACCTACATTAACAATGTGTTAGTATAATAGATAATTTATACACAAGTACAAATAGTCTTTTATGTGTGGGGCTTGCTAGCTTTTTCCTCACATGCTCGTAAAAGCACTGGCTCTGTGTGGACCCGGGTTGTCAGTGACAGCGAATGTATAGTTTTTGCCACTTGCCACATACTGTTGTCGGGCCTGCCTGACAATCGAAATAACATTATATATATATATATATATATATTATAACTTTACAAGGGAAACCCGTAGTAATCTTTAGGAAAGGCCTAAAAGATGCCCATGTCTCTTTTATGACATTTACTTGCCACATTTCTCCTATTTAGATCCATTAGCTGCTAATAGTTAACGAGCTAAATAATTCACAGAAATATTAGCTGCTATCACAACTATAAATTTGAATTTTATAGGCATGTTATATTATTCGTATGAATGAAATCAATGGAATATATGGATATACAACACATAGGTCTTGTTTAGATCATATGCTCCCTATTCTGCAGCCCATGGCCCTGTACTTTTCAGCGAACGAACAGTGTTTTCCTCAAACAACAATGTTTTCCTCTCACAACAAAGAGGAGAAAAACACTGTTCGTTCGCTGAAAAGTATTAAGTTCGGCCACTAAACTTTAGACCATAGCTCTTGAAGCTCCAAACATATAGTCTAAAGTGATCTCTAAAGTTTAGCTAATCTCACAAAAAAAAGTTATTAATTCATTAGACCACACAAGTGAAACTAAAGTGATCTAAAGTTTAGCTATTAACTTTAGCCAACTAAACTTTAGACCATCGCATTCAAATAGGTCCATAGTCTTTCTAGTATCTAAAGGGTACGATATTGTTTTTTTAGTTTCGTTCCATGATTTTTTCAAACCGAACATGCTCTTGTATTGATACAACCTCCATCGGTTGTTAACCCACAATGTTCACTACTTAACAAAAATACAAAAGATATGAAGGAATATTTATGTTGATTAGTTCAATTGTTTGCTTGATCGTTGCATAGAAATAGGTCCAAAGTGGTATTTTGATACAAAGTTGAGAAAAATCATAATATAGGTCGTCTTTGGACCAAATCTCAATCAAGACTGTGCTATTAAAGCCCTGTTTGGATCAAAAAGATAGTAGTTAACTTACCAATAATTAGTTCCTTAGATCCAAACAAGTCTAGTTAATAGTTTAGCTAATTGTTAATTGAGTACTCAACTAACAATTATTTCATTGGTTGGATCAAAGTAGCTAATAATAGTTGTGACCTATTAGCTAGATAACTATTAGCAACTAATGGATCCAAACAGGCCCTTAGTTAGGCAATATGCATGGATTGCATATTTGAATGATATATTAAGGTCCTGTTTTGAATCAAGGAGATAATTGTTAGCTGCTGAAAGCTTTAGTTTGGTTTTGGTGAATTGATGAAACCCTAGGTACTAACCTATGTGCTCTAAGTGAATATGAGATAAGTTAAGTACTTTTCAAGTCGTGGAGCAAATGATGAAGATCATGATGATGGTGGTGTGACCATGGTGATGATCAAGAGCTCGGACTTAGAAAAGAAGAATGAGAAAAATAAAAAGCTCAAGACAAATGTGAAACTTGATTGAACTTTTTTGTTCCACCAATTTCAAAAGAAGCCAAAAGCAAAAGCGTGATCGAGACACTTAGCTTATCAAAAAGCACCCTCAGTGTGATCATATTTAGGATAGATAGCCATACTAAAAGCCCAAGAGGAGTGCCTTACTGTGATCATATTTAGGATAGAAATACTATTAAGAGGTTAATCAAAGTGCCAAAGTGCCACTAGATGTTCTAACTCATTGCATATGCATTTAGATTCTAGTGAGTGCTAACACCCTTGAAAAATGTTTGTGAAAATATGCTAACACACGTGCACAAGGTGAAACACTTGGTGGTTAGCACATTTGAGCAAGGGTGGAGAAGTTGGAGAAGTGGAGGAGCTGTCCCGGGATGATCGAACGCTGAACAGTAAAAAGTGACCAGACACGCAGGGCCTGCATCCGATCAGGGGTGACGTACGCTGACATTGGGCTAACTCGCAAGGCAGAGAAGAACGGACACTGCGGTGTGTCCGGTCGTACATGAACGGACATGTCCGATCGTACATGAACGGACGCGTTCGATCGTCAAAATCCTTCTCTAGAACATCTCTGGAAGTGACCGGACTCTGCGTTGATGGAGCGTCCGGTCATTCCCTCGGCGCGTCAGGTCAGTGGATCAGGGGCGTGCACGCGTGAGCAAACTGTGTGAGCACCGGCGTGTCCAATCGCCTTGTGTGGTGCGTCCGGTCTCACTTTAACAGCGCGGCTCTGTGTTTTGACCGTTGGAGATGTGCGGCGCTCGTTGAACACGGGGGACGCGTGGCAGCGGATGGGCGACTGGACGCAGGGGCGTCTACGTTTGATCGATCTGACCGGCGCGTCCGGTCGCATCGTGAAAGCAGGCAGCAAGGGGGCAATGGCTCTATTTCGAGGGGGCCTCTTTTTAAGTTGTGTGGCCGGCTCTTGCTCACCTTCTTGGCTATTTGCATTGACATAACAACCTTGTGAGCTTAGCCAAAGCCCTCCCACTCATCTTCATCATAGATTCATTATCTTTGTGAGATTATGAGTGAGTCCAAGTACATTGCTTGAGTGATTGCATCTAGAGGCACTTGATAATTATGTTTCGCTGCGGATTTTGCTTGTTTCTCTTGGTGGTTGCCGCCACCTAGATGGCTTGGTGCAGCGAGGATCGTCGAGCGGAGGAAGGTGCTTATCTCCGGCTCCGATTGTGGTGATTGTGAGGGGTTCTTGACCTTTCCCCGATGGAGAGCCAAAAGGTACTCTAATGGATTGCTCGTGGCTTGTGTGATCCTCATCTTGTGTTGGTTATGCGGCACCCGATTGCTAGTTAGGTGTGTGATGCCTATTAGCGCATGAACCTCCAAGTGAGTGAATCGCCACAACGAGGACTAGCTTGTCGGCAAGCAAGTGAACAACAACAGCAACAACAACATAGCCTTGCAGTCCCAAGCAAGTTGGGGTAGGCTAGAGTTGAAACCCACCAAGAGCCCCAAGTCACGGTTCAGGCACTTCAATAGCTGATTTCTAAGCACTCCTATTCAAACATAGATCTCTAGGTATATCCCAAGCTTTCAAATATCTTTTTACTGCCTCCCCCTATGTTAATTTTGGTCTTCCTCTACCACTTCTCATATTATTAGCTTAGCTCAGGACTCCACAATGCACTGGTGCTTCTGGAGGTCTCCTTTGGACATGGTCAAACCACCTCAACCGATGTTGGACAAGCTTTTCTTCAACTAGTGCTACCCCTAGGCGATCACATATATCATAGTTCTGAACTCGGTCCATTCTTGTGTGACCACAAATCCATCGCAACATACACATTTCTGCAACACTCAGTTGTTGAACATGTCGAATCTTTGTAGGCCAACATTCTGCTCTATACAACATAGCCGGTCTCATTGACGTTCTATAAAACTTGCCTTTTTAGCTTTTGTGATACCCTCTTGTCATAGAGAATGCCAGAAGCTTGTCGCCACTTGATCCACCCTGCTTTGATTCTATGGCTAACGTCCGCATCAATATTTCTATCTCTCTGTAGCATTGATCCCATATACCGAAATGTATCCTTCTTAGGCACTACTTGACCTTTCAAACTCACATCTCTCTCCTCCTATATAGCTCCGCCAAAGTCGCATCTCATGTATTTGGTTTTAGTTCTACTCAAGCTAAAACCTTTAGACTCAAGGGTCTGCCGCCATAACTTTAGTTTCCTATTTACTCCTGCTTGGCTTTCGTCCACTAACACTACATCATCAGCGAACAACATACACCAAGGGATATCCCCGTATATGTTCCTGGTAATCTCATCCATTACCAAGGCAAAGAGATACGGGTTTAAGGTTGACTCTTGATGAAGTCCAATTTTAATCGAAAAGTAATATGTGTTACCATCGTTTGTTCGAACACTAGTCACAACATTGTTGTACATGTCCTTGATGAGGGTCACGTACTTTCAAGGGTCTGTCGGCAAGCAAGTGAACCTCGATGAAAAATCTTGTGTCATCTTGTCCCGAGGATTTCTTGGTATTCATTGTGATTGATTGATCATCTCTTGCCACGGCGATATAACTTCACTACCCTCACTTGTATTTACATTCCTAGTGTTGCTACGCTCTTTAGTGTAATTAGTTTTGAGAGTTAGCTTGTGTCTTGTCTTGTGGATAGTGAGGTTCTTTAGTTAGTCTTTGAGAGCTCACTAACTTAGTGGTAGTGACCTAGCCTTTTGTGCTTAGAGATTGTAGTTACTAGAATTATAGTAGGTGGCTTGTATTTTTAGTAGGCTAGCGCAAGAATTGCTTCGCCTCATATTTGTCTAACCACTTGCTTAGTGTTAAAATTGTTGGTACTTCCTTTTGTTGAAAATCTAAGAACCTGAGGTGGCCTTGTGATCTTGTGCTGATTTCTATAATAATGTTGAATATGGCAGCTTTTCAATACTATCTATGGATATCGCTTTGTTTACGCTGCCAAATGCATGTATTGTCCTGAATTTCAAATGTCAATGCTATCTGGTGATCCGCTAGAAATATTGTCCCTTTGTCAGATGCTTGCATGTGTTGTGAGCCTCATAACTTAACCCTTGGGGCTGCCACATGTATACTGCATATGTTATCATGTTGATACTTTTCATCTAACCATTTTGTTTGTTATATATACAGGGCTTATGGCAGTGGCAAAGAAGATAGCCCTCTCTGTGACGTACCAGGTTTTGAAAACTGTAGGATGAAACTCCTGAGACATGTTTCATTTGTTGATTGCCCGGTATGATGAAACTTTTTTCATATCAGTTCTGTTTCACATGTCTACTTAGGGTTCAGATTCACAGATTCAGATCAGTTGCTATGCTAGATGTCTGTATCTTTTGCACAAAATTTTGGCCTCTGTTTGCCTCCATCAATGTTGTTAATTCCTTCATGCTGCAACAGCATTAAGCGATGTAATATGCTATATGAATCATTGTTCCCTCAGACTGACATGTTGATTATCAGTATTTTTTTTTCTTTGAGAAGTAATGAAAAAGTTCATTCTCATTAAGCATTTGACTAGCAGTCTTACCAGCTTCATTATACAATGTTTCTTATTTACTTTGACATTTCCATAACGATATATTCATCTTGTGAACAGGGGCATGACATTCTCATGGCTACAATGCTTAATGGAGCGGCTATCATGGATGGAGCACTGCTTCTGATTGCAGCAAATGAGAGCTGCCCACAACCCCAGACATCTGAGCACCTTGCAGCTGTTTAAATTATGCGTCTTCAACATATTATCATTCTGCAGAACAAGATTGATCTTATCCAGGAAAGTGCAGCAATGAACCAGCATGAAGCAATCCAGAAATTTATACAGGTCAGAGCTGCTCCTTGTCTCTTAGATAACAGCAAGTATTTTATGAAATTCAGTTTGTCATGATTATATTCTTGTGCTCAGGGAACAATAGCTCAGGGTGCTCCTGTGGTGCCAATCTCAGCACAGCTGAAGTACAACATTGATGTTATCTGTGAATACATTGTGAAAAAGATTCCTATACCAGAGAGGAATTTCACCTCTCCTCCCAACATGATTGTTATTCGCTCTTTTGATGTGAACAAACCTGGTTCAGAGGTTAATGATATCAAGGGTGGAGTAGCAGGTGGCAGTATCCTCAAGGTATGTAATTTGATATCTAAACATACAATAATCCATATTTGCATGCAGTATTTCTTTCTGTGGAAGTACATGATGACTGAGTTCGTTTGTGAAGGGAGTCCTGAGGGTGAACCAGAAAATCGAAGTGCGCCCAGGCATTGTGATGAAGGAAGAAAGTGGCAGAATCAAGTGCACACCCATCTACACGAGGATCGTGTCCCTGTATGCTGAGCAGAATGAGCTCCAGTTTGCCGTTCCTGGGGGCCTAATTGGAGTTGGAACTACCATGGACCCGACACTGACTCGTGCTGATAGGCTGGTCGGTCAGGTCCTTGGTGAAGTTGGATCGCTGCCTGATGTTTACATTGAGTTAGAGGTCAGTGATTTCATATATTTGGGACCACCAATGTACTATATCTGATACTTCTGTTTGCAGGTGAACTTCTTCCTCCTCAGGAGGCTGCCGGGCGTGAGGACAAGTGGAACTGAAAGGGCAAGCAGGGTCTCAAAGCTCACCAAGGGTGAGATCCTGATGCTTAACATTGGATCGATGTCTACAGGAGCCAAAGTTGTCGCTGTCAAGAATGATCTTGCTAAGCTAGCGCTCACCGCTCCAGTATGCACCAACAAGCTCGAGAAGCTGGCCCTCAGACGGCGCATTGAGAAGCATTGGCGTCTCATTGGCTGGGGCACAATCCAGGCTGGCATTACACTCGACGTCCCACCGTGCCCGCTCTAAATCTAAATACCCACTCCGTGGTAAAAAAATAAAGTCGTTTTGGATAAGACTTGGGTCAAACATTGGGAATATAAATCATGAATAACTTTTAAGTTGTTGAGTTTGGAAATGTGAAAACCATATAAATAGATTTGTCTTGAAAAATACTTTCATAAAAATATACATATATCACTTTTTGATAAATATGTTTATAAAAATAAGAGTCAAAGTAATACTTTGGAGACTATGTCGCTGTCCAAAACGACTTTATTTTTTAGTATGGAGGGAGTACTAATAGCCTGTTCGTTTCGTCGTAAACGATCGTGGATTATTTACTAGTTGGCTGGTTTGGTGTGAAAGAAAAATACTGTTCCAGCTTTATAATCCACGATCGTATACGAGCAAACAAACAAACTGAATACACCACATGTTTGACGATTTGACGCAAAAAAATAGAGTTTGGAGATGTGGAGAGTTGTTGGGAACGATTTTTGTGAGGTGAAGAAAACCTGAAACCAAATAATAACAATTGTTTTTGTTTGCAAATCTGTGCCCCTGCCATCTTCAGCCTGTTCGTTTGACCGTGGCTTATCGTAAACGATCGTAAATTTTCAGTCAGAACAATATTTTTCTCTCACACAAACCAGCCAGCAGTACTTCTTCACGAATCAGCAACGAAACGAACCGGCCAACCGAACAGGCTGCTTATAAATGAGCTGATAAATTGTGTTGAATAAGTTTTCAACCAGTTGGTTTAATGATAAGCTTGAATTTAAATCGTGTACTTTTCATGGTAAGTTACTGATGCTGTGCAGGTTGACATGAATTATTAGTTCATCAGTACAGTTATAGTGGAGTTGCTGATGCTGTGCAGGTTGACATGAATTAGTAGTTCATCTGTACAGTGATAGTTGATGTTTCCGTGTCGTTTTCTCGTTTTACATAATTCAACTTACACTTTAATGGCCATCATTTTCTCGTTTTACATAATTCAACATATCCTTAATGGCCATGAATACATACTCGATGTTGGCAAATATTACAGTGAACCTTTTATAGTTCTGATTAACAGTAGATTAAATATTTCAGTTTGGAAAAATGAGTACCATTTGTAGATTTTTTTTTTGAAAAAAAATACCTTAATAACACCATAAACTTATTGAATTGTTATATACATATATTCAATGAAAAGGTACTCAGGGATACATAGGAAATAAGATCATGTTCAAAATATAAATTTATTTTGACTGGAGCATGTATTTTGCATCTCCCCTGCACTGGGAAGAAGAGGTGGCCTGGTAACAAAGGTACACAAGGGCGCAGCAATATGGGGACAATATAGGACCTAATAAAAAAACTTATATGACAAACACATACATCACATAAATGAATTACAGTGATGTGTTTATCAATGATATAACGCTACATCTGACAAATCTAAGCTGAGTAAAAAAATTCTTATGAACAATTCCCCTATCCTGCACTAGAATTGTTTCCAGAAGATGATCTCAGCAACTGATGGTGGTTAGGAGCAATCGAATTGGGCATGCCAGAGTTGAACATGATGTTTGATGCCTGTGGCGATGGTTGAGTCTGGATGGCTGAGAGTGGTAGGCGAGGGCCGAAAGAGAGCATCTGCGGCCGCTGATGTAGGAACGGCATCTGAGGAGGATGCCCATGCCCCTGCATGTCGTTGGCAAATGTGGCTGGCATGCTGGTCTGTGGCATGGAGCCTGGCACACCGACTGGTCTGGGGCTCATGCCTGCTGGATTTGATGGCATGGTGCTACTGCCCCCTGGTAGACCGCTTCCGGTGGGACCTAATAGGGCTGACCTCATCCTGACTCGTTCAGCTGAAATCCTCTGTCTAACCCTTTCTACTTGCTCACATTCCTTCAAGAGCAAGGTCTCAACTTCCGCAAACTGCTTCAGCTTCAACTCCAATCTCTTTAACTGCAAATTGAGTGTTGCAATATCAATAAGCCATCCTCAGCAAACAACATACTAGAGTAAGTGTGAATAAGGGTCTATCAAAACAACTACCATGCTGGTACCAGAAAATTTAACCCTACTCTGACTTGGATTCAGCAAAAAAGCTCACTCATACTATATACTATCAAGCTAGGCTAGGAAACAAAACTTAGTTCCAGGAGTGCCAGACTACTTTTCTAATTTAATTAAACAGGCAACTCAGATATCAAGGGACCCGAAAGTCTTAGCCGACTTCTAGAACCTAATACCAGTTTTCATCTAACGATAAGTCAGATGTGAAGGGACTCAAACAAGTCCAGCGCCAAGCATGCAACAACAAATGGTCCAGTTCAGTAGAAATCTACCACACCTAAATCAACGGCTTGACTCAGTCACAACAAATGGAGACAGCTGTGCATGCAAATCAGATGGCGAAACCCATACTAACCTGATGATTTATTACAGTAGCAGCTAGCCTTTGAACTTCACGTTCCTCTTGATCGGCAAAGAGCTTAGATTTCATTGCTGCTGCTGACAGACCAAACATGGCAGCATGTTTCACATTTTCTGGAGAAACGGATGGTGAAGCACCTGTTTGGAAAATTAATGATTCTTTTAACATTCATGTCTAGAGTGAACTAATCAGGATTTTGCTAGCAACATTGACTGTAGCAGGTATTAAATACAAAGCAGATACCATTATGGTTCCGAAATTTTGGATTTGTACCATTGCCCATACCATCAGCATGCATGCCTTCTGAACTCACCCTTCAATGCGTAGCAAAGATAAGTCATACTTAGCTCTAGCATGATAATGCAAAAAGGAACTAGAAACAAATGAAAGGTCTGGATAGTAGACATGACGGGGGAATTTCTGCCTCACGAATGAGGAAATGTTGAATATTTGAACTTTGAAGTAATAAAGCATTTACTAATGTATCTGAACTAAAGCATTCAGTAATAATAAAGTAAAGAATAAAGATGGCTAACCTGGAATCATCATCTCTAGTCAAAAAAGATAATGCTGCATGTGCGCATGATGCTGCAACTCTTGGTCCAATTGAAGAGGCCAAAAATGCAACCTATAATATTTATAAAGCGTTAGACTGCATACATGCATACATACAGAACGAACAGAAGCCTGACTTTTCATTGTTATGTCATGAAGCAGTGAAGTGCATAGCGCATAGTCCTATGCCCCTATGTACGCAGTCTTACAATATGAAATCATTGTTATGTCATGAAGCAGTGAAGCAGTGAAGCAGTGAAGTGCATAGCACATAGCCTCTTTCAGGTTTGACCTTACGATGGCAGGGAAATTCCTGGGGAACTAGTTTAGGGAAAGGATGGTGGCAAGAAAAATGATTTCATATTCAAACTCAACCTAGAGGAAACAGGAACATAAAAAAAAATCAGGATGCTGACGTCTGGTCTTACAGGAAGCCAAAAATGTAACCTACACTACCGTTCTAAATTGAAAGAGCATCTACTCCAAGTAGCAATTTAGGCTTTTATTTCCAAATTTTTCTGTTGATAAAACTTTAAACAAAAAAATGCTTAGTGAAACTTAAATATAAATGCAAATATAGATGTCATGTCAAAAGAGAATGTCAGGCAACCATTGTTGCTGCTGACTACCAGAATAGCAAATTATACTTCTATTATGTCACTTAAGCTTGAATGGCAAATCCACTTTTCTCAGTTCAATAAATGGCGCACTGGTTCTCCAAACAGGAAAAAAAAAGAAGGGCGGAGCTACTCACCAGTGACATCACCGGATTAGAAGAATTAATGAATGGAAGCTGATTTCCTTGTTGAATATTTTGAACTGGAGACCCTAAGAACACACTCATCAATATTAAGCCATAACTTACAACAGGAGCAAATTACCAAAAGCTAAAAAGTAAATGGACAAAAAATGAATTCAGCTGATAGGGAAACTTAGTGATGTAAAACACCTGAAGTGCTGCCATTGGAATCTGAATGTTGATAACCATTGCTTTGTGGTCGAAATGGAATGGGTGCATTAGGTATCTCAACATTCTCTAACAAACCATCTTCCACTGGCAACCGAATAAAATGGTAAATACATTGTGCCTTTGATTTTGTTCCAACATGACCTGCAATGTCATCCCAGTTGTCATTGTACTTCTCAATGCCTTCCAACAGCAACAATGTTTCTTCATCAGTCCATTTATCACTATCATTTTCTGATCCATCATTATCCCCATCGACTCTCTGGAAATCTAAGCTAGAATGCCCAGTAATATATCTCGCATCATGGAAGCAATCAGAACATAGAAAAATATCTGCCTGCTCAACCAGTTAAAACACACTTGTTATTGCTAACGTTTGTCGCACAAAATAAGAACAGAGGAATCACAATAATACATTCAAATGGGTACAAACCCAATGGAGTTCAAAGAGTTATACTGCACAGCAAAAGCAGATAGTCTCGCATCAAAATTGGACACTTAATAATATTTGTAACTAAGGATCTGTTTGCTTTATAGGGCCCTGAAGCCATGCCATAATTTTTGGAGGCACCAACCAAACAGCCCCTAAATGTTCTTTTCCCAAGTACAGTAGTCAATCAACTAGTAGAAACATTAAATTGTTAATACACGTTTTCAGCATGTGCTGCGTATCCAAGGTTTGACAAAAAAAATGTGAGTAAAATAATAATAAGTAGGCAAAACCCCAAAACAAGAAATAATTAGGGTTTAATTAGTCTACCACACTCAACCAAAACCTAAGAAATAACATGCTAAATTGTGAAGCAAGACTACCTCAGCAGCTTACTGTAATGTAGAATCAAAACCTTGGAGGAAGGTCCTATTTTTTAGCAGGAGTGAAATGGAAGTGCAACTTCCAAAATACAGATACAGATTCTCTACACAGAAGTGCAACTTCCAAAATACAGATACAGATTCTCTACACAAAACATTTAACATAAAGCATGTAAAATGGATGTTACAAAGAAGCGCACCTCCTTTCGTGACCGGTAATGTAAACTTGGCAAAGGCTGTAAGCAATAACTGCAAGAGCTCTCAGACAAACGCTCCCTGATCTTTGCATTCAAGTCTGCAAATGCAGCATCAAAATCCACAGCCTCCGAGTTCGACGAAGACGCTGCCATAGAAGAAATGTCCTCCACTGGGAGGCTGCATTTTGGCCGGTCAAACAAAATTAGACCATCGATTGATTTCAATGGCGCTGTAAGCAACTGCAGTTCCCCTGTAGGTTCCTCTCTTAGAAGCGAAGTTGCCATCCTCAGGCCACGGTGCACAGACCCAGCCGCGAGGTAATTGATGATGCCCCAAGTGTCCATGAACCTAACAATCCTACTCAGATCATACAGTTCAGCTGTGCTCCCAACAAGCCCCTGGCACTCAGCAAAAGCAAGCCTCTTGCTTGGGTTCTCTAAGTATTTGGCAATGACTTTATTCCTTAACATGACATACTTCTCCGGAGTGTGCCCTGGAGACTTGCCTGTAAAGAAGTGTGGCACTACCTGCCTTTCCAGCCTATGAACTGTCCCCGGGGAGAACCAATCTACAAATTACAAAGCAAAATGCATAGGTTACTTAAATTAGCGCATTTTTCCAGCACAGCTCAGTGATCCATGTTTACGCAGAGAGTGAACCTGAGTGCTTGGGAACCACATGGAGGCGACCCTGGAACTGCTTGGGCACCCCATGCCCCTCCATGAGGGGAGGCGGCGTGCACACATACAAGGACGGCTTGTCGGGGTCTGTCGCAAGGGACGGGTGGTCCGGAAGCACCCCGGACAGCACCTGCAGCTGCCCGTGCGAGATGTTCTCTAGCACCGGCAGTGCCACGGTCGGGACATCGCCGGAAGAAGCGGATCGCTCGGCCTCGAGCAGCGCGAGGACGGACGGATGCGGCCGGTTGACCACGCGACGCTTGGCGGCGGGGAACCCAGAGATGGCCTCGGCCGAGGGCAGCACCTCGGCCTCGCGGAGGCCAAGCGCGGCGGGGGCCTCGTCGTCGTCGCCGGCCCCCGCCGCGCCGTGGACGGCGGCGGCGTCCTCGTCAGCGGAGTCGGAGTCGGAGGAGTGGTCGGCGGCCGCCGAGGTGGAGGGCTTGGACGGGGACGTGTCGGGGTTGCGCTTCCGCTTGCGCCATTTGAGGCGCGAATCTGGGGAGTTAGGGTTACCGAGGCGGAGGCAAGCGTTAGGTCCGGCGGTAGAGAGTTTAAAGGGTTTCGAGAGGGGGATGGACGCACGGACCTGAGGTCGACGAGGCCTTACGCGGCATCGGCGGCGGCGGGGACGACGGCGGCGGAGGACGACGAGGCGCGCGGGAGTGAGACGAGACGAGACGAGACGCGGGCGTGGTCGGAACGAGTCGACGGGGAAGGAGGTGAAGCACGTGCGAGGGAGGCTGCTCTTCTCCCAGCGACGGCATCGCCTAACCACTTCGTCGCACGCACCCAACGTTCCATTTTGGGGCCCAGTGGGCTTTGATTGATTAGAAATGGCCCAAGTCCGCGCGTGGGAGGTCACCGAAGCTGGCCTGCTTCTATTATTCATGCACACTGATGCGTTGTGGGCTTGTGTCCTTCTGAACTGTTAGAAGGCTGAGAAAAGCTGCAAGCAAGGGTTCCTTGTTTCAAATATCGGTTGTGATAATTTGACCACTTGTTCACCGCAATGATTTTAAATAGCCGAACCTAAGACTAGGGATGAAAGCAGATCAAAGCGAAGGGGATAATGCTTTTCCCGTACCTTAATCCAATTTCCTTTGTTGGATTCAGATCGGAGCGGATAATACACAGTTGTAGATATGGATTTTTTCGAATGCCGGAATTCATACGAAAATAGAGTGAAATCAGATCTGAGACCAATTTAAATGAATAATATGTGCATAAATGGAGAAGTATATGCTTGTTAAGAATTAATTTAGTAAAGAGTCAATAACAAGCAATAGACAGTAATCTTCCATTACTTTCCATGTTGTTTTTTTTGAACATGGAAGATATCTCCATTACTCATAAACCAAGGTCAAATCTTTGGCTACAAGCGACCGAATACAAAATGGAATACTGTCCAGAACTGGATCAGTACCCTGACTCAAACTCGCCCAAAAGGCAGCTAAACTGTGGGCTACCATATTACAAGATCGAGGGTTATGAGCTACAGCATAAGCAATGAAATTGCTGACCAAAAAGTTCTTCAATTCCCATATAAGACCGCTCGCCGAGCACCGATCAAACTCTGATGAGTTCACCGCCTGAATCACCATCGAAGCGTTCGTTTCCATGGTCACTCTCTGAATCCCCAAAGTCAAACAAGCAGCTCTGCATGGAACGCCTCCCGGCGTGCAAACACAGCAAGCTGATCATATCTCTGCATGGAACGCCTCCCGGTAAAATAAAAAATTCAATAACAAGGATATAAAACACGACTATGAATTAACCCACGTTTATGTTTGCACGTATGGACACGCATACGTGTTTCTAAAAAACTATTTCAAATGCCGTATACAATAGATGGCAAGTGATCTGATCAGAAATTGATTTGATCGGATGTGTAGAACAAGGTTCTCCATCGTTGCCTCTGATTACATTCCATGTTGTGGCTACACAATTAACACTTAACAGGATATCCTTACTCAGAAATGATAAGTTATTAGCCTATATATAAGTAACAAGAGCAACTCCAAGAATCAGTGGCGAACCCAGGATTTGAAATAAAGGTAGTCTTAGTGAAAATTTTCATATGCAATATGGTAAAATAAAAAATTCAATAACAAGGATATAAAACACGACTATGAATTAACCAAATTGCGACAACACGTTTAAAAGGTTCAAAACTTACACAAATATACATACATAAGATAAGGTCTTACATAAATACGAGACTACAATACTAATTCTCATGTCTAAGGTGCCTTTATAGATTTAATGCACACCTCAACGTAAAATCCTTTTAAACGTGAAGAGGACTGCGAAGAAGTGCAGCCGAGCAAACTCAGAGTGTCTCTAGCTAGCTAATCAGATATGCGTTATTTGTCTCAACACTGAAGAGGACTCCAAAAACGAAAGACACCAGGAAACTTGCAACTGAAAAGAGGCAGAAATTGAGCACGAAAGCGCCGGCGAGCGGATACTGCCGCTTGATCGCATGCCTTCCTTTGGAGTGAAAGCACTGCCACTGAAACCTCAAGATGGTGCGCCACGTCGTCGCAGGCATGATCCAGTTCGTGATGATGATTTGCACGACACTGACGCACAGGTATATAATCGTCAAGAGGAGACGGATGCCGGCATGCGCCGCGTACAGAGCCGCGTAGAAGGCCAGCATCAAGCTGAAGAGCGACGCCCACATGCACTGCAGCGCCCTCACGAAGCTCTTCCACGAGCGGCCGTCGGCGGAAAGCGACGCCGACGCCGACGCCGCCTTCCCGTAGATGAGCAAGATCACGGCGACCACGGCCGTCGCCAGGGCCAGGGTGTCCAGGACGAGGAAGTACTTGAACGAGGCCCTGCCCGCCGACGAGAGGTTCGACTTGCCCGTGCCGTCGCCGTACCCGCCCGGCAGGTTGAACCCCGCGGCGAAGGCGGCGGTGGCAATCAGCTGCGCCACCACCGCGAAGCTGTCGGACGCCTTCCCGATCCCCTCCACTACGTGGCGGTTGCTCCACTGCGTCTTGTTGCAGTCCTGCCTCTGCGGCCGGAGCAGTGCCCCGTAAGCGAACAGCGTCACCACGAGGCTCACCGTGGTGAAGAAGCTGGTCGATCCCTCGACGAGATCAAACGGCGTGCGCCCGTCGTGGTTCAGGACGTCGGCGCGCACCTTGCCCTCCCGGAGAAGGGCTTCCGCGACGTCGGGCGTCCCCGCGGCCACCGCGAGGTGGAGCGGCGTGTTCCCGTCCCTGTCCTGCGCGTCCAGGAGCCCCCGCGCGCGCAGCATGGGGTTTTTGATGGCGAGGGACACCACCGATGAGGAGCGCTTCTCCCTTGCCGCGGCGTGCAGGAAGGTCCCTCCGTCGCCGTCGCGGAGGTCGGCGGCGTCGGGGCAGCTCTCTAGCATGTCCTTGACCACGCCGCGGTGCCCCATTCGCGCCGCGACGTGGAGAGCCGACAGCCCGCTCGAGTCCTTCTTGTACACCGTTCCCGGCGGCCCGGCGCGCAGGATTGCACGCACGATGCTGCGATCACCGTCCGACGAAGCGAAATGGAGCGGGCTGCTGCCGCTGCTATCGACTTGGTCGGCCAGAGCTGGCCTCCATTCCAGTAGCAGGTGAACCATTTCTGCAGGCAACGCAAATGCTGAACACATTAGTTCACTGCATTATTTTTTTTTCTTTCAGTAATCCTTATTATGCAACCATTAAGAATCCAACAAGCAACTAACCTGAGCTCTGGAAAACGGCAGCGTGCAGAGCATTCTGTGCGCTTGGCCCCATCGATGACGCGTCCTTGCACTTGGTAATAATCGCTCTGACTGCTGGCACCGAGCCGCTGATTACTGCCAAGTACAACGGCGACACGCCGGCGTTGTTCAGCTCGGCCGCCGGTTCTGCCGCCGCCGAGACCAGCACCTCCACAATAGCGCCGTGCCCGTGCCTCGCCGCCAGGTGGAGGGCCGTGTCCCCTGCCTCATTCTTGCAGCCCACAATGTTCACGCCACGGTCCCTGGCCAGCTCGACGAGGACCGCGACTGCCCTGGCGTGCCCAGCCCTCGCCGCGCAATGCAGCGGCGTGTCCAGCGCCGAGTTCTGGCGAGAGAGGAGGCCCTGATCCCTGAACCTGAGGTAGAGCTCCCGGATCAGCTCATGGTGCCCTTGCTCCGCAGCCACGTGTACAACGGTTTTCCTCTCCGCAGTCAACTCAAGTATGTCGCACTGTCCGTGAATAACAATGCCTGAAACGGGTAGTAAGGAAATTAGAATAACTGAATCCGTGTGTCAAATGACGAGCTCAATTGGAGTCAGATTATAAATTCGTCGGCTAGGTTAGGGACTCTGGTTTTCCCGTGCCTTGTTTGGACACACTTGCATCTAACGTGTGTTGGAGTGGATTGAGGTTACTCCAACACACTTGAATTAAGGTAGATACAAGTGTATCCAAACAAACCTTTATTAGGGTATATATAGAAGGATGCTAGAGGGAGGCAAGGACACTAGATAGGAACAGCTGGTTGTACCTACTATACAAGTATACCAAAACGTCTCCAACAATTGCCGACTAAGAGCAACTCCAATAGAAGCCTTCGAATCAGGGTTTCTACTTTTGATTTGAGGCCCTCTAACTTTGAGGACATGAATTTTTTTGCATCTACAATATAAGGAGCTCTCAAATCTATTCTAATAGACACTATTGGCACATGTGACCCACTCGTCATTCCCTAATCTTCCCTCCTAAGCTATGCGAGTGTGTGCGGGAGGGAGGAGAATAGTGGGGGAGATGGATCTGACAGTGTTTCTACATGGAAGAGGAGCCGTTTGGGGAGTAGGCTAGGCAGAGGCACGCCATTAGCGGAACCGAAGGGAGGACGACAATAGGAGAGTGGGAGGGGTAGCCACTGGGGGAGGCCACACGGAACGTTGGATGTGTGGGAGAGGCATCAGACAACAGGCGCACCAGGTCAAGAGGAGTGTCAAGAAGCGTAGCAAGCACTCGGACGTGCACGGTCTAAATTGGTTGGGGAGATAAACGACTGAAACTGAAAAGTAAGGTCCTCGTCTAGATTCCTAAGAGAGTTTAAGAGCCTCCTACTTTTAGGGGTCTAAGTAGGAGCCCTACTTGACCTGTGTTTTTTACCTGAGCTTTCAAAATATGGTTTAGGAGCCTGTTGGAGGAGCCTACTAGAGTTACTCTTATTTGTCATTTCACTGCCAACTCATCGAACAACTATTGTCGAAGCTTGCCCCTGCTTTAGTATCAACTCTCTGTTCTGTATGGATGAAAACGGTACGGATATTTATTCGACCGTCCGTTCGACCGAACAAATATGAACACTTATTCGGATAGTTACTCGGATATCCGGTTTTTTTTTCGGATACGGATACTAAAACGGATATCTTAGGCGGATATCAAATACGGATGTAATATCATCGATATCCGGCGGATATCGGATAATCCGGATAAGTATCGGATATATCCGGATATTTAAAAACGGATATTATCCGGATATTTATTCAAAATTTAAAAATCACAAATTTGAACCATCCAAACTATCTCAAATGGAAAGTTGACCAAAACAACAATTGTAGATCTTGATGAGTTGAACAAACTTGGTATTCAAAACTTTTCAATTTGAAGTCATTTAGAGTTCATAATACTAGAGTCAAAGTGTTGTTTTTTTATTTGACCAAATTTGACTTGGTCAAACTTGCTCAAATGAGACACTAAATGACCTCAGATGAAAAAACTTTGAATACCAAGTTTGATCATCTCAGCAAGATCTACAATTGTTACATAGCTCATTTTTCCATTTGAGAAAGTTTTATCAAACACTAGTCATAAATTCTTGAATCTCATATAGACTTTCTGAAACTATGTCACACACTTGTGAAATTTGAACTATATTTTATTCAAACTTTCTCAAATGAAAAAATTGCCTATATAAGGATTGTATATCTTGATGAGATGAACAAATTTGGTATTCAAAACTTTTCAATTTGAGACAATCTAGGGTTCCGAAAACTAGTTTGTACACGTCGAAATTTAAAAATCACAAATTTGAACCGTCCAAACTATCTCAAATGGAAAGTTGACCAAAACAAAAATTGTAGATCTTGATGAGTTGAACAAACTTGGTATTCAAAACTTTTCAATTTGAAGTCATTTAGAGTTCATAATACTAGAGTCAAAGTGTTGTTTTTTCATTTGACCAAATTTGACTTGGTCAAACTTGCTCAAATGAGACACTAAATGACCTCAGATGAAAAAACTCTGAATACCAAGTTTGATCATCTCAGCAAGATATACAATTGTTACATAGCTCATTTTCCCATTTGAGAAAGTTTTATCAAACACTAGTCACAAATTCTTGAATCTCATATAGACTTTACGAAACTATGTCACACACTTGTGAAATTTGAACTACATTTTGTTCAAACTTTCTCAAATGAAAAATAGCCTATATAAGGATTGTAGATCTTGATGAGCTGAACAAACTTGGTATTCAAAACTTTTCAATTTGAGACAATCTAGGGTTCAAAACTAGTTTGTAAGCATCGAAATTTAAAATCACAAATTTGAACCGTCCAAACTATCTCAAATGGAAAGTTGACCAAAACAAGAATTGTAGATCTTGATGAGTTGAACAAACTTGGTATTCAAAACTTTTCAATTTGAAGTCATTTAGAGTTCATAATACTAGAGTCAGTAAGTGTTGTTTTTCATTTGACCAAATTTGACTTGGTCAAACTTGCTCAAATGAGACACTAAATGACCTCAGATGAAAAAACTCTGAATACAAAGTTTGATCATCTCAACAAGATCTACAATTTTTACATAGCTCATTTTCCCATTGGAGAAAGTTTTATCAAACACTAGTCACAAATTCTTGAATCTCATATAGACTTTCTGAAACTATGTCACACACTTGTGAAATTTGAACTACATTTTGTTCAAACTTTCTCAAAATGAAAAAATGGCCTATATAAGGATTGTAGATCTTGAATCCATGACCATGACTCCATGAGACCCATGAAGCAATGTGCTTGGCTATTTCTACTCATGCCGCAAAGATTAGTGCTTATATGATGTTTGATGTATGATGTATCTGTATCTTTATCTTATTTGTTGCTTTACTCTTTAGTCTTTCGGCTTAATCTAGATGGATTATGGACTCATAGAGTGGTGTAATGGTTTGCGCACGTATGATATATATATATATATATACTGCTTTTACTCAATATCCGAATAGATATTTGTATCCGACCTTCTCCGAATCCGATTCATACCGTATTCGATACTCATTATTCGTATCCGTAACCGAGTCAATCCGTATTCGTATATGTATCCGAACGCTATCCGTGTCCGAATCCGAATCCGAACAAAAATATGAAAACAAATATAATATGAGTGATATCCGTTCGTATCCGATCCGTTTTCATCCCTACTGTTCTGTCTCATATTCACCCTTATCCGCTTCTAAGCCACCTAACTACATGCTTTTTATTTTTCTAGAGAGTTATATTCTTTATTAGTGCGTTATAGCTAGATGATGATTATCATGGTATCTCCAAAATGAGTCTCCAAAAGTAATATTAAGATTGATAATAACAGACATTTTGCCTTGGTGTTTTTTTTTAGAAAAGTTAAAACAAATAAATAAAGGTTAAGATATAGAAAGATTTGAAATTTGCACAGTAGCAAAAACTTTAATTTGGTTTATTTCAAGGTTGATGCAATTTATTTGTTCTCACCTAAAATTATAAGATTCTTTTATTTTAAAGAAAGGTGGCGTGTCCCCTTTTTTTGTGGCACTTGTGTCGCCGTGAAATCAGTTATTGTAAGTACAAGTGTTCCAATAGAAGGCATCACGACGGGGACATGCTTGGAAGTCTCTTTGACGTTGCTTTCCCAGAAGAAGCCATCTACGTTTGATTTGAATATTGACCGTTCAAACAGCCAGCAAAGTCGCCACACGGGTATAGTTGGTCAAAAGGTCCATGAGCCAACGGTCCGGGCATGGCATTCTGGCTCGGCCTAGGTATGGCATGGTCCAAAGGCCATCGAGCCTGTGTCGGCCCAGCGTGCCTAAGCTTTGTCGCCACGGTGTGCTGATCTGGCCCGGCCTGACGAGCCAAGCATGTTGTGCCGCCCCGACCCTCATCGAGTCCTGCCCTCTGTGGGCCCGTACCATGTCAGGTCGAGCGGCGCATTTGGTCATCTATACATGGTGTACGATTGCAGGCGGGGCAGGTTGTTAACGTAACCAGCCCCGCCCGCCTTGCAAAATTTCCCTTTGCGGCTGTTGTGGACTAACTACAATTTTTTTTGGTCCAACGTGTTTGAACCCACCAAGCCCGTTGGGCAAGAGACAAAGCCCGCTAGAACAACAGACGAACGTCGTATCGCGTGCCGAAGACGTTGCCCATGATGTTGTTGAGAGCGGCAGCATGGAGGTGCGGGCGGCGGATGACGGTGCCAGAGGTTGACTGCTCGGCGGCGACGGAGTGAAGCATGGTCTCCGTGTCGCCCCGGCGTCCCGGCTCGTGCACGGCGACGCGGCGCGGGGAGAAGAGTGTTGGAATGTGATCGGTTGGGCTAATCCGAACTTAATTACGAGATTAATTAAGAGTTAAGCTTTCGGTCCACCCACTCGTCACTTATTTTCAACTAAATAAGAACTGCTGTGATTGGCGGCAGCCCTTAGAATTCTAAGGATTTGGCCCCTGGCCCACAGCGCGATTATAAATAAGAGAGACGCCCTTAGCGTCACACTCTCTCTAATCCACATGACTTTTCACATAACCGATCACTTAGGCGCTGGAGGGTCTAGGAAGGTCCGTTTCCTGTCCAGGTCAGTGCCGGTGGCAACCAGAAGGGCGCTGCTACCTGGCACGTCGAGTTCGTCACCTGCAGAGGGTTCCCAAATCCTCGGCCGGTGATCTTCCGTCATCTGCGTCATCACCGACAACTGCATCACCACAGGAGGCACTGATGGCGACTGCCAACACTGGTCTGGCACTATCTACTTAAGTATTTCCGCATTATATGAGTTGTGGTCATGCGTTAGACTATGTATCAGATCCTGTGTACATGTGCTACATGTTTTATGCTAAGATTAGATTCAACAATCGGTATCAAGAGCCTACTTAGATCTACCATGACCCTGTTAAGTGCTAGTTCATGGGCCATTTGCTGGGCAAATTTTGTTTTAAGTGCCGAAATTTGAGTTTTATTTTT